ATATGTGTTATGTATGTGTATCAGTAGATATATACTTTTGTCCGTTTCCTGCTGTAATTGCTGTGTATTGGAGTTTGCTGAATCACCACGTGTATGTATCTTGTTCCTAGCGTATATTTGTAGATAGTGTAATATGAACCACCATTTAATACAGACCACTGTTTTCTGTATTTACTCCTGGGTTACCTCAGCGCAATAAAACTGTGCATGCTTTCCTTGGTTGTCCATAGTCTTTGTAGGAGCCTTCTCCAACATTAAGTTCAAAGGCTCATCCTCTCCTCTTCTTCAAAGTCCCACTTACTCTTCCGTAAATGGTCAAATGCAGGCAGTTCTTGACTGAGAACTGTTCATTTAGTGACCGTTCAAAGTCATAACGGCACTGCAAAAAGTGACTTAGATAAGATAAGATAAAAGATAAGATAAAAGATAAGATAAGATAGACTTTATTGTCATTTTTTTTACTGTGGGCACAACGGCACACATCAAAAATGAAATTTAGTTGCCCGCTCTCAAAGTGAAACACATACATGACACACACCTAGCATAATATATATACCATATGTATAGACCCACACCCCTACATATACATAACAAATAAGTATTAAACACTGTCCATCTTGAATATATAACGGAAGGAGGAAGCTTGAGAGTTCACAAGGTTAATATTGTATGGAACAAAACTGGGACTGAATCTGGATGTTCTGCTTCGGATACCACGAAGCCCCCTCCTCCCAGAAGGTAACAAGGAAAACAGGTCGTGAAGAGGGTGTGTAGTGTCCCAGATAATCTTGTGGACCCTGCTCACGCAACGCTTCTGTGCTATCTCCTGGATGGGAGGGAGGGAACTGCCAATGATCTTTTCTGCCGTCCTCAACACTCTCTGCACCGCCTTCCTGTCTGAAGCAGTGGTGCTTCCAAACCAGACTGTGATGCTATATGACAGGATGCTCTCCATCATCCTTCTGTAGAAAGTGGTCAGGACAGGGGAAGGAAGATGTGCTTTTCTCATGCGACGCAGAAAATGCAGGCACTGCTGTGCCCGCTTCACCAGGGCCTCACTGTTGAGCGACCAAGCCAGGCTACTCATTAACTGCACACCCAGACTTATGAATGTTTTTCACATCAACGATCATTGCAGCATCCCCGTGGTCACGTGATCAAAATTCGGATGCTTGGCTGCTGGCAAGTACTCGTGACGGTTGCAGTGTCCCGGGGGTCACGCGATCCCCTTTTGCGGCCTTCTGACAAGCAAAGTCCATGGGCAAGCCAGATTCACTTAACAACTGTGTGACTCACTTAACAACCACAGTGATTCACTTAACAACCGTGGCAAGAAAGGTCGTCAAATGGGGCAGAATTCAATTAGCAAATATTTCAACGAGCGACAGGAATTTTGGGCTCAAGTGCGGTTGTAAGCCGAGGACTATCTGTATTATATACCTTGTTGAGTGAACGTTTCTAATGCGCAAATTGCAACGTTTGAAAAATTCTTTTCTGGGACTTGTTATGAAAAACCGAAGTGGCAAATGTTTAACCGGTTGGGAATGAACTCATGCCTTCAAGCCAAACAGAGCTGGCTTTAAGTGGTTGGCTTGTGAGAAATCACCCAAAAAATCCCAGACTTGTAAGTTGATTGGCCCGTCAAAATTAAAACTACCTTTTGCATTATTGCACAAGAGAGAGCCCTGGAGTAGAAGCAGTAACACAAACACAAAACGATGGGGATGTGTGATGCGCCTTGAAAGCGAATTTCCTGGTGTGGGTTGTTTAAAGCATTTCTAGGTTTGTAAAAGGTTTTCTCCAAGCAATTCTTTCATCCAGGCAATTCTTTCATCCAGGCAGGGGTAGGCAACCTTGGCCCTTTTATGACTCGTGGACTTCAACTCCCAGAATTCCTGAGCCAGCCACACTGAGGGGAAGGGGAGAGGTTTCCAAGCTGAGCCATGCTGGCTCAGGAATTCTGGGAGTTGAAGGCCACGAGTCATAAAAGAGCCAAGGTTGCCTAGCCCTGGCCTAGAACATAGATTAAGACAGGGGTCTTCAAACTTGGCCCTTTTATGACTTGTGGACTTCAACTCCCAGAATTCCTGAGCCAGCATGGCTCAGCTTGGAAACCTCTCCCTTTCCCCTCAGCATGGCTGGCTCAGGAATTCTGGGAGTTGAAGTCCACGAGTCATAAAAGGGGCAAATGTGAAAACCCCTGCTCTTAATTTTCGTCCTAAGATAGGGGTAGGCAACCTTGGCTCTTTTATGACTCGTGGACTTCAACTCCCAGAATTCCTGAGCCAGCCACGCTGAGGAGAAATGGAGAGGTTTCCAAGCTGAACCATAATGGCTCAGGAATTCTGGGAGTTGAAGTCCACGAGTCATAAAAGAGCCAAGGTTGCCTAGCCCTGGCCTAGAACGAAGATTAAGAGCAGGGGTCTTCAAACTTGGCCCTTTTATGACTTGTGGACTTCAACTCCCAGAATTCCTGAGCCAGCATGGCTCAGCTTGGAAACCTCTCCCTTTCCCCTCAGCATGGCTGGCTCAGGAATTCTGGGAGTTGAAGTCCACGAGTCATAAAAGAGCCAAGGTTGCCTACCCCTGATCTAGGGCGTGTCGAAGTGTGGCAACTTTAAGACTAGTGGACTTCAACTCCCAGAATTCACCATCAGTGTTACGTGAATGCAGGTCATTAAGCAAACCCATTGTTCTCAACAGGGTGATTCGCACAAGGACTGTGTGATTCATTTAACAGTCGTATGACTGTATGACTGGACAAATTAATGACCTTTTATTGCAGTGGTCATTAAGTGACTCAACGTTGTTGTGTGAATCGACAGTCATTAAGCAAAGCCACTGTTTGCAATGAGGTGATTTTCCTAAAGGCACTGCAGTGACTCATTTAACAACTAGAGCAAAAAAGTCGTACAATGAGGTGCTAAGTGTCTTGTTTAGCAATCGAGATTTTGGGCTTGGGAAGAGAAGAGCAACTAAGATGATCCAAGGCCTGGAGACCAAAACGTACGAAGAATGGCTGCGGGACTTGGGTTTGGCCAGTCTAAAGAAAAGACAAAACAGGGGAGACATGATAGAAGTATTCCAGTATCTGAGGGGCTGCCACAAGGCAGAGGGGGCCAGGTTGTTCACCAGAGGGAAGGACGAGAAACAATGGTTGGAAACTGATCAAGGACAGAAGCAACCTGGAATTAAGGAGAAACTTCCTGACAGTGAGGACAATCAACCAGTGGAACAGCTTGCCACCAGAAATCATGGACGCTCTATCGCTGGAAGTTTTAAAAAAGAGACTGGACTATCACCTGTCTGAGATGGTATAGGTCCACCTGCTTGAGCAGGGGGCTGGACTAGAAGACCTCCAAAGTCCCTTCCAGCTCTATTCTGTTCTGTTCAATATTCTGTTCTATATTCTGTTCTGTCCTGTTCTGTTCTATTCTATATTCTATTCTGCTCTATTCTATTCCATTCCAATATCTATTCCATTCCATTTGTTAAGCCCCATTTTACGAACTTTCTAGCCACAGGTTGTTAAGTCAATCACTGCAGTTGTTAAATGAGCAACATGGTTGTTAAGTGAATCTGGTTTCCCCATTGACCTGGCTTGTCAGGAGGTCGCAAAAGGGGATGATCACGTGATCTTGGGACACAGCAACCGTCATAAATATGAACCAGTTGCCAAACATCTGAATTTTGATCACCTGATTGTGGGGGAATCCCTGTAAAGGTCATAAGTGAGAAATGCGGTCGTAAGTCACTTAATTTTTTTTCAGTGCCGCTGTAACTTTGAACGATCACTAAATGAACTGTTGTAAGTCGAGGACTACCTGTATATGGTGTTTCCCCCAAAATAAGAACCATCTGGAAAATAAGCCCTAACATGATTTTTCAGGATGTTCGTCATATAAGCCCCATTCCAAAAAATAAGCCCCAGTTAAGATCATCAGCCAGACTCTGGAAAGAGTGCAGAGAAGAGCAACAAAGTTGATTAGGGGACTGGAGCCTAAAACATATAAGGAACGGTTGCTGGAATTGGGTATGTCTAGTTTAATGAAGAGAAGGACGAGGGGGGACAGGATAGCCGTGTTCCAGTATCTCAGGGGCTGCCCCAAAGAAGAGGGAGTCAAGCTATTTTCCAAAGCGCCTGAAGGCAGGACAAGAAGCAACGGATGGAAACTAATCAAGGAGAGAAACAGCCTAGAACTAAGGAGAAACTTCCTGACAGTGAGAACAATTAACCAGTGGAACAACCTGCCTCCAGAAGCTGTGAATGCTCCAACACTGGAGGTTTTTAAGAAGAGACTGGACAGCCATTTGTCTGAAATGGTATAGGGCAGGGGTGTCAAACTGCCGGCCCGTGGGCCGGACTCGTCATCCGGAAGCCGCACCCACCCCATTGCCGGCAATGGCAAAACCGTCCCGATACGTTTGACATGTCTGGCATAGGGTTTCCTGCCTGATAAGGGGGTTGGACTAGATGACCTCCAAGATCCCTTCCATCATCATCTTCTTCTTCTTCATCATCATCATCATCATCATCATCATCATCATCATCATCATCATCATCATCATCATTATTATTATTATTATTATTATTATTATTATTATTATGAATGCATTTAGTACCGTGTTTCCCCTAATATAAGCCCTAACTGGAAAATAAGTCCTAATGCATCTTTTGGAGCAAAAATTAATATAAGACCTGGTTTTATTTTCGGGGAAACACGGGTGTCTAATGAGTGTCTTCTACTGCTTGCAAGATCTGTCCTTGGATTGGCAGGAGCAATTATACAGGCTCAGCCAAGTGAAACTCTTCCCCCCCCCCCCCATCACATACACTCACACATCCGGCACTAAATGCCATTACAGGAAAGAAGAAAAATTGATTGTGAACTTGACCGAGCAGAGCCTCTCCTGAGTTCAGTGGATGCTGGCTGGGATCGAGCTTTTAAATGTTGGCATATGGCTGGCTCACGCCCGGCTCTCACTCCACTTCTGCCTGTATGAGTGGACAGCTGGCTTGTCCAGGCAGATCCGGAGACGAAACTTACCGTGGGTATTCCTATGAGGGCTGTGTTGATTTTACAGGGGGTCCTGGAGGTATGGCCACAATTCAGCCTCAAATTTCCATTTGCAAAGCAAGACAGCTGTTAAGTGAGTTTCACCCCCCATTTTATGGCCTTTTTTGTCCGGGTTCCTCCATTGACTTCGTTTGTCAGATGCTGGTTGGGATGGTCACAAATGGTGATCATATGGCCCCCGGGATAGTGCAACCAATAATAATGATGATGATGATGATGATGATGATGTTGGAAGGGACCTTGGAGGTCATCTAGTCCAACCCCCTATACAATTTCAGACAAATGACTGTCGTCTCTTCTTAAAAACCTCCAGTTGTGGAGCATTCACAACTTCTGGAGGCAGGTTGTTCCACTGGTTAATTGTTCTCACTGTCAGGAAGTTTCTCCTTAGTTTTAGGTTGCTTCTCTCCTTGATTAGTTTCCATCCGTTGCTTCTTGTCCTGCCTTCAGGCGCCTTGGAGAACAGCTTGACTCCCTCTTCTTTGGGGCAGCCCCTGAGATATTGGAAGACTGCTATCATGTCCCCCCTCGTCCTCCTCTTCATTAAACTAGACATACCCAATTCCAGCAGCCGTTCCTTATATGTTTTAGCCTCCAGTCCTCTAATCCTCTTTGTTGCTCTTCTCTGCACTCTTTCTAGAGTCTCAACATCTTTTTTACATCGTGGTGACCAAAACTGGATTTCTTTACGGTGGGGAGGGAAAGAGGGAGGGGGAAGGGGGGCAGGCCTTTTTCCAAAGGAGACCACAGAATGGGAGGGGAACGAGGGCCGGTGCTTCATGTTTGTTCTGCCATGGGTAATTTTGCTCTCTTTCTCTCTTTCTTTCTCTCTTTCTTTCTCTCTCTCCTTCTCTCTCTCTCTCTCTCTCTCTCTCTCTCTCTCTCTCTCTCTCTCTCTCTCTCTCTCTCTCTCTCTCTCTCTCTCTCTCTCTCTCTCTCTCTCTCTCTCTCTCTCTCTCTCTCTCCCTCCCTCCCAGGCTCACCTACAGACACCCCCTGTGGCCACTGCAGCTGTTGCGGCCGCGGCTGCCGCCAGTGTCGTATCAACCGCCCCCCAATCCTTGAAACTGACTTACCCCGAGATCTTGGACCGGATCAAAGAAGAATTCCAGTTTTTGCAGAACCAGTACCACAGGTAAAAAAAAAGGATGTTCATTTTCCCAGGAGATGCTGAACTGGGCAGACGCCAGGATTTCTTCCCTGGGTCCTGGTGAGCGCAGGCACCGGGGAGGGGGTGGGGTGGGTGGGGGGTGTAGGACCAAAGCCAACTTTTCAATCCCTGATTTAATCCTTAGAGCTGCCGTGAACTGTTCGGATGTTTTTGCCCCTCTGGGTAAGGGGCCTTTTGCAACCCAAAGAGACTGTAGCCTTCCATTATGCAGATAGTCCTCGACTTACGCCCACAGTTGAGCCCCAAATTTCTGCCGCTGAGCAGATTTGCCCCATTTTACGACCGTTCTTGCCACAACGGTTAAGAGAGTCCCTGCAGTTAAGTTAGTAATTTCAGTTTTGGAACTTGGTAACTTAACTAAGCAACTTCAGTTAGTAACTTGTTCAGTTGCTAAGTCGTAAGTGCAGGAAGTGGTCGTAAGTCACTTTTTTTCCAGTGGTTGTAAGTCGAGGACTACCTTCAAAGTCCACGTGGCCTCCCTAAGGGGTTGTCCTGCAGTTTGGGGCCACATCTGGATCGTGCCAAATTCAGAAAATCTATTACAGCAACCCAAAACCCACTTATGCATCGTCGGGTGTGTGTGGCCCATTGGCTGGGTGTGGCCCATTGAGTGGGCGTGGCTGCGGTGGTAACGGCAGACTGGGTGGGACTAAAAAGTTCAATCAATTCCAACTTTGCAAGATCTTTTTTTTCCCCGCGAGAAGTTGAAATTGACTGATTGATTGAACCTTTTTTTTTTGTACATGGCGGTAGAGGCCTAAAGCAAAAAGGTTTTATAAAACCCAGCTGAAGGCCTAGGACTGGGGCGATGGCGCGCGTGCCCACAGAGAGGGCTCTGAGTGCCGCCTCTGACACCAGTGCCATAAGTTCGCCACCACTGATCTATTACATTCAATATGCATAAGATTCCTGGCCTTTGACATATTGAGGGCCAGCTGTTTTTACTCCACTAGGGGCTGGTGGTCTCCCCAGAGGTGCCTGCCCTGAAATGGGTCTATTTCACTTTTTCCCCCCAGCAAATTTGCCCTGTTTATCTGCTTGAATCAATACTGCCTACTTTTGAAAACGAGCAGATGCCCCGTTGGCAAACTACAATTCCCATCAGCCTGGGATCCAGGAGGATGGTGGGGGGGTTATAATCCCAGGAGATGCAAAAGGCACCGTCTGCTGAATCAGGAATCAGAACTGGGCCGCGGAAGCGTCGGGTCCACAAAGCCAGAAAATGTCTGGATGATTGAGTGGCCAGCTCTGTCTTCGAACCGGAGAAGGCCCCAAATCAAATCACAACCACTGTGAAAACTTGTGTTGACTTATTTATTCAATTCAGCGGGACCCCACCCTTTCCGGCTTTGGGTAGAGGGGACAGTTCCGGGCGAGGGGTGGGTGAGAGTGCGCGCATGCACAACCGCTGCTCATGCAGGTGGAGCTTCATGCATCCGAGCACTCGCCTGCTGCTCGCGCAAGTGGAGCTGCATGGATGCTCACCCGCTGCTTCCACAGCCCAGTTTCAAACGGGCCATGGCCCGTGAATTAAGGATCCCTGATTTAATTCATTGATTTATTATCCCAAAGGTGCTTTTTCAGGAGGCAACTGAACTTCCTAATTTTTCCTTTGAAGACGTTTTGCTTCTCGTCCAAGAAGCTTCTTCAGCTCTGACTGGATGGTGGGGAATGGAAGGATTTATATTTCTTGCTGGTCATTTGCATTCTTTTAGAGAGTCGTGGAGGCCACTTGGAGGACCCATTTGCACCACTCACCTGACTTTGAGGACACAGGTTAAACCTCCAAGTGGCCTCAAAGACTCTCTCAAAGAATGCAAATGACCAGCTGTCTGCAAGGAGTATAAATCTTTCCATTCCCCACCATCCAGTCAGAGCTGAAGAAGCTTCTTGGATGAGATGTGAAATGTCTTCAAAGAAAAACAAGAAAGTCCAGTTGCCTCTTAAAAAAGCGCCTGGATGACTGAGAATCTCCATAGTCATTGATTTATTAATTGTATATGCCGCCCATCTCAACGTTGGGGCGACTCTGGGCCACTTTACAAGAGGTGGAAACGATAAATATCAAAAACCAGTCAAACTGAATAAGAATGCAGTAAAGAGTTTAGCCGTAGGGTCTGCTCTTTTGTTTTTAAAGCTGTCAAGTTTCTAGGACTCATGACTGCGCACGGTCTGTGAGGTCACCTGACAGTGCCAGGAAGGTAGCTAAAATGGGGTGAACGGCGGGGGGGGGGCTTTGCTTCAACCAAAGCAATTTTGGGGAAAGCAGCCCCCTTTGCTGAAGCCGTGAATAGATTATGCAAACTAGAGAGGGGCTGAATACATTATGCAAATGCAGACCTGTATTTGCATGATTTATACAGGGAACTGCATTGGGGGGGTTCCCTCCCCCCCTTTTGATCTGCACCGTTTTGGGGCTTTTTAAAAGGGAAAAGCCACTTACCAAGAATGGGGAACAAGGTTTAGGCCGGGTTGTGTGAATTGGGCCCTCTAAAGCACCTAAAGGGTCATCCAGACGCCCCTGTTTCTTTGAAGGCAGTTGAAGGGTGGTGCAATCCAAGCTCTTCCTTTATCTTCACAGCTTGAAACTTGAGTGCGAGAAACTGGCAACCGAGAAGACAGAAATTCAGCGACACTATGTCATGGTGAGCAGCTTTTATGATGCTGATTAAGTGCCAGGCTGAGCTTTCCAGGAAAGGGAGCTTTTAGCAGAACAGGCCCTACCTCTTTGCTCTTCGTTGGCCTCTAGTCGAGGATGATGGGTTCTAGAGTCCAAAGCACTCAACCAGGGTAGCAAGTGGGCTTTTACTCTCTGCTCTGGATAGCCCTTTCCTGTTTTGGGGTACATTTTTCCAGCTGAAGAAATACAGGTCATCCTCGACTTACGACCATACAATTGAACCCAGAATTTCGGTTGCTAAGTGAGACATGTGTTAAGTGAGTTTTGTCCTGCTTTATGACTTTCCTTGCCCCAGTTGTGATGTGAACCACTGCAGTTATTAAGTTCGTAATAAACTTAAGTGAATCTGGCTTCCCCCCCTTGACTTTGCTTGTCAGAAGGTCGCAAAAGGGGATCACATGACCCCCGGGACACGGTAACCGTCATAAATATAAGCCAGTGGCCAAGCGGCCAAAGTTTGATCCTGTGACCACGGGGAGGCTGCAACAGCCCTAAGTGTGAAAAACGGTCATAAGTCACTTTTTTCCCCCAGTGCCATTGTAAGTTCGAAACAGTCACTAAATGAACTTTTGTAAGTCGGGGACTCCCTGTACTGGTATTTACAAGAAAGGAGAATAAGATAAAGTGGGATACTGGCTTTTGGCCTCCGTTCTTCCCAGCTTTTCCATCTTACTCCCTGCCTTCCAGAAATGCCATCCACATGCTGGAAAAATGGAAGATATAATGCTTTATCCCGCAATCTTGCATCCAGGCCAACTTGAATTTAATCCAAAGCAAACAACACCTCACAACTGCCTTTAAAAAAAAAAAAGAGCTATAACTTTTTTGCACACTTGGCAGTGACACCATTGTACCACCCACTGTGCAGATCTGCCACATGTTGTTGAAGGCAGCCGTGTCCCTTAACCAGGCTCAGACGGGGTGTTAGAGAGATGTTAGAGAGATGTGGCTGCTTTAATGGTTGGGAAAGAGACATGCTATCCAAGAAGTCCTCAACTTATGACCACAGTTGAGACCAGGTGATCATTATGTGAGTGGGGGAGGGGGGACATTGGACAGCCGTTTTTGCTGCGATTGCTAAGTAAATCCCTGAGGGTCATTAAGTAAATCACAAGATCATTAAGCTTCCTCCAGTGAGTTTGCTTGCCGGAAGCCAGCAGGGGAGGTCACAAACGGCAGATCACATGACCACTAATGGCGATCACGTGATCAGCAATGGCGATCGCATGACTCTGGGATGCTGCAGCCGTCATAAGTACAGAATAGTCGCCAAGTACCCAACTTTGGATCGCATGACTGTGTGGTTGCTGTGATGGTCACAAGTGCAAAAACTGGTCATAAGCCAGTGGTGGGATTCAGCCGGTTCGCACCGGTTTGGTAGAACCGGTAGCTAAATTTTGCTGAGTTCGGAGAACCGGCTGAACCCATGCTGCTACTGGAAGTTGGTTCTAGGCCTTGGAGGCCTAGAGGAGGTCTCCCAGGCCTAGAATGGCCCACCGGAAGTGCATGGATGTCACTTCCGGAAGTCTGTTCTAGGCCTGGTGGAGGCCTTCCAGGCCCAGAACGGCCCACCGGAAGTGCGTTGATGTCACTTCCGAAAGTCTGTTCTAGGTCTTGGAGGCCCGGAGGAGGCCTCCCAGGCCTAGAACAGCCCACAGGAAGTGCATGGATGTCACTTCCGGAAGTCCATTCTAGGCTTCGGAGGCCCAGGCCTGCATCCATGCAGAGAACCAGATGTTCAGGTATTTGAATCCCACCACTGTCATCAGCCTATTTTTTTCAGTGCTGTTGGAATGTCAAATGGTCGCTAAACAAATGATCNCAAACATCTGAATTTTGATCACCTGATTGTGGGGGAATCCCTGTAAAGGTCATAAGTGAGAAATGCGGTCGTAAGTCACTTAATTTTTTTTCAGTGCCGCTGTAACTTTGAACGATCACTAAATGAACTGTTGTAAGTCGAGGACTACCTGTATATGGTGTTTCCCCCAAAATAAGAACCATCTGGAAAATAAGCCCTAGCATGATTTTTCAGGATGTTCGTCATATAAGCCCCATTCCAAAAAATAAGCCCCAGTTAAGATCATCAGCCAGACTCTGGAAAGAGTGCAGAGAAGAGCAACAAAGTTGATTAGGGGACTGGAGCCTAAAACATATAAGGAATGGTTGCTGGAATTGGGTATGTCTAGTTTAATGAAGAGAAGGACGAGGGGTGACAGGATAGCCGTGTTCCAGTATCTCAGGGGCTGCCCCAAAGAAGAGGGAGTCAAGCTATTTTCCAAAGCGCCTGAAGGCAGGACAAGAAGCAACGGATGGAAACTAATCAAGGAGAGAAACAGCCTAGAACTAAGGAGAAACTTCCTGACAGTGAGAACAATTAACCAGTGGAACAGACTGCCTCCAGAAGCGGTGAATGCTCCAACACTGGAGGTTTTTAAGAAGAGACTGGACAGCCATTTGTCTGAAATGGTATAGGGCAGGGGTGTCAAACTGCCGGCCCGTGGGCCGGACTCGTCATCCGGAAGCCGCACCCACCCCATTGCCGGCAATGGCAAAACCGTCCCGATACGTTTGACATGTCTGGCATAGGGTTTCCTGCCTGATAAGGGGGTTGGACTAGATGACCTCCAAGATCCCTTCCATCATCATCATCTTCTTCTTCTTCTTCTTCTTCTTCTTCTTCTTCTTCTTCTTCTTCTTCTTCTTCTTCTTCTTCTTCTTCTTCTTCTTCTTCTTCTTCTTCTTCTTCTTCTTCTTCTTCTTCTTCTTCTTCTTCTTCTTCTTCTTCATCATCATCATCATCATCATCATTATTATTATTATTATTATTATTATGAATGCATTTAGTACCGTGTTTCCCCTAATATAAGCCCTAACTGGAAAATAAGTCCTAATGCATCTTTTGGAGCAAAAATTAATATAAGACTTGGTTTTATTTTCGGGGAAACACGGGTGTCTAATGAGTGTCTTCTACTGCTTGCAAGATCTGTCCTTGGATTGCCAGGAGCAATTATACAGGCTCAGCCAAGTGAAACTCTTCCCCCCCCTCCCCCCATCACATACACTCACACATCCGGCACTAAATGCCATTACAGGAAAGAAGAAAAATTGATTGTGAACTTGACCGAGCAGAGCCTCTCCTGAGTTCAGTGGATGCTGGCTGGGATCGAGCTTTTAAATGTTGGCATATGGCTGGCTCACGCCCGGCTCTCACTCCACTTCTGCCTGTATGAATGGACAGCTGGTTTCTCCAGGCAGATCCAGAGACGAAACTTACCGTGGGTATTCCTATGAGGGCTGTGTTGATTTTACAGGGGGTCCTGGAGGTATGGCCACAATTCAGCCTCAAATTTCCATTTGCAAAGCAAGACAGCTGTTAAGTGAGTTTCCCCCCCCCCCCATTTTATGGCCTTTTTGTCCGGCTTCCTCCATTGACTTCGTTTGTCGGATGTTGGCTGGGATGGTCACAAATGGTGATCATATGCCCCCCCCGGGATAGTGCAACCAATAATAATAATAATAATAATAATAATAATAATAATAATAATAATAATAATAATAATGATGATGATGTTGGAAGGGACCTTGGAGGTCATCTAGTCATCCCCCTATACAATTTCAGACAAATAATAATGATGATGATGATGATGATGATGATGATGATAAAGTTGGAAGGAACCTTGGAGGAAGAGAGAAAGCAAGAAAAAAGAAAGAAAGAGAAAGACGGAAAGAAAAGGAAAGGAGAAAGAAAGGGAGGGAGGAAGAAAGGAAGGAAAAGAAAGAAAGAGAAAGAAAGAAGAAAGGAAGAGAGAAAGGAAGAAAAAAGAAAGGAGAAAGAAGGAAAGAAAGAAGGAAGGAAGAGAGAAAGAGAAATAATAATAATAATAATAATAATAATAATAATAATAATAATAATAATAATAATAATAATAATAATAATAATAATAATAATAATAATAATAATAAAGTTGGAAGGGACCTTGGAGGTCATCTAGTCCAGCCCTTTGCTCAGGCAGGAAACCCTATACCATTTCAGACAAATGGCTGTCCAGTCTCTTCTTAAAAACTTCCAGTGTTGGAGCATTCACCGCTTCTGGAGGCAGATTGTTCCACTGGTTAATTATTCTATCAGGAAGTTTCTCCTTAGTTCTAGGTTGCTTCTCTCCTTGATGAGTTTCCATCCATTGCTTCTTGTCCTGCCTTCAGGCGCTTTGGAGAATAGCTGGACTCCCTCTTCTGTGGGGCAGCCCCTGAGATATTGGAACACTGCTATCATGTCCCCCCTCGTCCTTCTCTTCATTAAACTAGACATGCCCAATTCCTGCAACTGTTCTTTATGTGTTTTAGCCTCCAGTTCCCTAATCATCTTTGTTGCTCTTCTCTGCACTCTTTCTAGAGTCTCTACATCTTTTTTACATCGTGGTGACCAAAACTGGATGCAGTATTCCAAGTGTGGCCTTACCAAGGCTTGTAAAGTGGTATTAACACTTCACGTGATCTTGATTCTATCCCTCTGTTAATGCAGCCTAGAACTGTGTTAGCTTTTTTGGCAGCTGCAGCACACGGCTGGCTCCTATTTAAATGATTGTCCATTAGGACTCCAAGATCCAAAATACATGCCAGTTGCTGAGCTTCTGAATTTTGATCAGGTGGCCCATGGGGATGCTGTAACCGTCCTGTGAAAATGAGTCATAAGTCATTTTTTTCACTGTCGTTGTAACTTCAAACGGTCACTAAACGAATGATTATAAACCAAGGACCGCCTATATCTGACTTTTGGGGGGAAAGGGCTGATGCTAATCTGTTTTATTTTAGATGCTCCCAGCACCACCAGTTTTGACAGCCCTTCCATGCAACTTTGAATTGTGCCCAGGGCATAAATCATGGTTTATTTCTTTTATTATCTAATTAGATAATTTAGAATGATCTAATCTCAGGATTATCTCCGTAGAACTAAAAATAGCCCAGACAACCATTTAACTGGAATGTTAGAGGGACTTCTGCCTTGAGCAAGGGGTTGGACTAGAAGACCTCCAAGGTCCCTTCTAGCCCTATAGGATTCTAGGATTCTAATGCTGGGAGCTCATTATCTCCTTTCTGGAAGGCATCCAGGTGAGAAGATTGAACTTAAAGTAGAGTAGAGTGGAATGGAATGGAATAGAATAGACATAGTTAGAAGGGACCTTGGAGGTCATCTAGTCCAACCTCCTGCTCAGGCAGGAAACCCTGTACCATTTCAGACAAATGGCTGTCCAGTCTCTTCTTAAAAACTTCCAGTGTTGGAACATTCACAACTTCTGGAGGCAAGTCGTTCCACTGATTAATTGTTCTCACTGTCAGGAAATTTCTCCTTAGTTCCAGGTTGCTTCTCTCTTTGGTTAGTTTCCATCCTTTGCTTCTTGTGCTGCTCTCAGGCGCTTTGGAGAATAGCTTGGCTCCCTCTTCTTTGGGGCAGCCCCTGAGATACTGGAACACGGCTATCGTGTCCCCCCTCGTCCTTCTCTTCATTAAACTAAACATTCCCAATTCCAGCAACCGTTCCTTGTATGTTTTAGCCTCCAGTCCCCTGATCATCTTTGTTGCTCTTCTCTGTACTCTTTTCTAGAGTCTCAACATCTTTTTTACATCGTGGTGATCAAAACTGGATTTCTTTAAGGTGGGGGAGGGAAAGAGGGAGGGGGAAGGCGGGCAGGCCTTTTTACAAAGGAGACCACAGAATGGGAGGGGAACGAGGGCTGGTGCATCATGCTTGTTCTACCATGGGTAATTTTGCTCTCTCTCTCTCTCTCTCTCTCTCTCTCTCTCCCTCTCTCCCTCTCTCCCTCATTCTCTCTTGCTCTCGCTCTCGCTCTCTCTCCCTCCCAGGCTCACCTACAGACACCCCCTGTGGCCACTGCAGCTGTTGCGGCCGCGGCTGCCGCCAGTGTCGTATCAACCGCCCCCCAATCCTTGAAACTGACTTACCCCGAGATCTTGGACCGGATCAAAGAAGAATTCCAGTTTTTGCAGAACCAGTACCACAGGTAAAAAAAGGATGTTCATTTTCCCAGGAGATGCTGAACTGGGCAGATGCCAGGATTTCTTCCCTGGGTCCTGGTGAGCGCAGGCACCGGGGAGGGGGGGGGAGTAGGACCAAAGCCAACTTTTCAATCCCTGATTTAATCCTTAGAGCTGCCCTGAACTGTTCGGATGTTTTTGCCCCTCTGGGTAAGGGGCCTTTTGCAACCCAAAGAGACTGTAGCCTTCCATTATGCAGATAGTCCTCAACTTACGCCCACAGTTGAGCCCCAAATTTCTGCTGCTGAGCAGATTTGCCCCATTTTACGACCGTTCTTGCCACAACGGTTAAGAGAGTCCCTGCAGTTAAGTTAGTAATTTCAGTTTTGGAACTTGGTAACTTAACTAAGCAACTTCAGTTAGTAACTTGTTCAGTTGCTAAGTCGTAAGTGCAGGAAGTGGTCGTAAGTCACTTTTTTTCCAGTGGTTGTAAGTCGAGGACTACCTTCAAAGTCCGCGTGGCCTCCCTAAGGGGTTGTCCTGCAGTTTGGGGCCACATCTGGATCGTGCCAAATTCAGAAAATCTATTACAGCAACCCAAAACCCACTTATGCATCGTCGGGTGTGTGTGGCCCATTGGCTGGGTGTGGCCCATTGAGTGGGCGTGGCTGCAGTGGTAACGGCAGACTGGGTGGGACTAAAAAGTTCAATCAAGTCCAACTTTGCAAGATCTTTTTTTTCCCCGCGAGAAGTTGAAATTGACTGATTGATTGAACCTTTTTTTTTTGTACATGGCGGTAGAGGCCTAAAGCAAAAAGGTTTTATAAAACCCAGCTGAAGGCCTAGGACTGGGGCGATGGCGCGTGTGCCCACAGAGAGGGCTCTGAGTGCCGCCTCTGACACCAGTGCCATAAGTTCGCCACCACTGATCTATTACATTCAATATGCATAAGATTCCTGGCCTTTGACATATTGAGGGCCAGCTGTTTTTACTCCACTAGGGGCTGGTGGTCTCCCCAGAGGTGCCTGCCCTGAAATGGGTCTATTTCACTTTTTCCCCCCAGCAAATTTGCCCTGTTTATCTGCTTGAATCAATACTGCCTACTTTTGAAAACGAGCAGATGCCCCGTTGGCAAACTACAATTCCCATCAGCCTGGGATCCAGGAGGATGGTGGGGGGGTTATAATCCCAGGAGATGCAAAAGGCACCGTAGGCTGAGTCAGGAAGCAGAACCGGGCCGCGGAAGCGTCGGGTCCACAAAGCCAGAAAATGTCTGGATGATTGAATGGCCAGCTCTGTCTTCGAACCGGAGAAGGCCCCAAATCAAATCACAACCACTGTGAAAACTTGTGTTGACTTATTTATTCAATTCAGCGGGACCCCACCCTTTCTGGCTTTGGGGAGAGGGGACGGTTCCGGGCGAGGGGTGGGTGAGAGTGCGCGCATGCACGACCGCTGCTCATGCAGGTGGAGCTTCATGCATCCGAGCACTCGCCTGCTGCTCGCGCAAGTGGAGCTGCATGCATGCTCACCCGCCGCTTCCACAGCCCAGTTTCAAACGGGCCATGGCCCGTGAATTAAGGATCCCTGATTTAATTCATTGATTTATTATCCCAAAGGTGCTTTTTCAGGAGGCAACTGAACTTCCTAATTTTTCCTTTGAAGACGTTTTGCTTCTCGTCCAAGAAGCTTCTTCAGCTCTGACTGGATGGTGGGGAATGGAAGGATTTATATTTCTTGCTGGTCATTTGCATTCTTTTAGAGAGTCGTGGAGGCCACTTGGAGGACCCATTTGCACCACTCACCTGACTTTGAGGACACAGGTTAAACCTCCAAGTGGCCTCAAAGACTCAAAGAATGCAAATGACCAGCTGTCTGCAAGGAGTATAAATCTTTCCATTCCCCACCATCCAGTCAGAGCTGAAGAAGCTTCTTGGATGAGATGTGAAATGTCTTCAAAGAAAAACAAGAAAGTCCAGTTGCCTCTTAAAAAAAACGCCTGGATGACTGAGAATCTCCATAGTCATTGATTTATTAATTGTATATGCCGCCCATCTCAACGTTGGGGCGACTCTGGGCCACTTTACAAGAGGTGGAAACGATAAATATCAAAAACCAGTCAAACTGAATAAGAATGCAGTAAAGAGTTTAGCCGTAGGGTCTGCTCTTTTGTTTTTAAAGCTGTCAAGTTTCTAGGACTCATGACTGCGCACGGTCTGTGAGGTCACTCGGCAGTGCCGGGAAGGTAGCTAAAATGGGGTGGGGGGGGCTTTGCTTCAACCAAAGCAATTTTGGGGGAAAGCAGCCCCCTTTGCTGAAGCCGTGAATAGATTATGCAAACTAGAGAGGGGCTGAATACATTATGCAAATGCAGACCTGTATTTGCATGATTTATACAGGGAACTGCATTGGGGGGTTTCCCTCCCCCCCCTTTTGATCTGCACTGTTTTGGGCCTTTCTAAAAGGGAAAAGCCACTTACCAAGAATGGGGAACAAGGTTTAGGCCGGGTTGTGTGAATTGGGCCCTCTAAAGCACCTAAAGGGTCATCCAGATGCCCCTGTTTCTTTGAAGGCGGCTGAAGGGTGGTGCAATCCAAGCTCTTCCTTTATCTTCACAGCTTGAAACTTGAGTGCGAGAAACTGGCAACCGAGAAGACAGAAATTCAGCGACACTATGTCATGGTGAGCAGCTTTTATGATGCTGATTAAGCGCCAGGCTGAGCTTTCCAGGAAAGGGAGCTTTTAGCAGAACAGGCCCTACCTCTTTGCTCTTCGTTGGCCTCTAGTCGAGGATGATGGGTTCTAGAGTCCAAAGCACTCAACCAGGGTAGCAAGTGGGCTTTTACTCTCTGCTCTGGATGCCCTTTCCTGTTTTGGGGTACATTTTTTCCAGCTGAAGAAATACAGGTCATCCTCGACTTACGACCATACAATTGAGCCCAGAATTTCGGTTGCTAAGTGAGACGTGTGTTAAGTGAGTTTTGTCCTGCTTTATGACTTTCCTTGCCCCAGTTGTGACGTGAACCACTGCAGTTATTAAGTTCGTAAGAAACGTAAGTGAATCTGGCTCCCCCCCTTGACTTTGCTTGTCAGAAGGTCGCAAAAGGGGATCACATGACCCCGGGACACGGTAACCGTCATAAATATGAGCCGGTTGCCAGGCGGCCAAAGTTTGATCCCGTGACCACGGGGAGGCTGCAACAGCCATAAGTGTGAAAAACGGTCATAAGTCACTTTTTTTCCCCAGTGCCATTGTAAGTTCGAAACAGTCACTAAATGAACTTTTGTAAGTCGGGGACTCCCTGTACTGGTATTTACAAGAAAGGAGAATAAGATAAAGTGGGATACTGGCTTTTGGCCTCCGTTCTTCCCAGCTTTTCCATCTTACTCCCTGCCTTCCAGAAATACCATCCACATGCTGGAAAAATGGAAGATATAATGCTTTATCCCGCAATCTTGCATCCAGTCCAACTTGAATTTAATCCAAAGCAAACAACACCTCACAATTGCCTTAAAAAAAAAAAAAGAGCTATAACTTTTTTGCACACTTGGCAGTGACACCATTGTACCACCTACTGTGCAGATCTGCCACATGTTGTTGAAGGTAGCCGTGTCCCTTAACCAGGCTCTGACAGGGTGTTAGAGAGACGATGGGAGCCGGGAAATGATGCGGCTGCTTTAATGGTTGGGAAAGAGACATGCTATCCAGGCAGTCCTCAACTTACGACCACAGTTGAGACCAGGTGATCATTATGTGGGTGGGGGAGGGGGATATTGGACAGCCATATTTGCTGCGATTGCTAAGTAAATCCCTGAGGGTCATTAAGTAAATCACAAGATCATTAATCTTCCTCCAGTGAGTTTGCTTGCCGGAAGCCAGCAGGGGAGGTCACAAACGGCAGATCACATGACCACTAATGGCGATCACGTGATCAGCAATGGCGATCGCATGACCCTGGGATGCTGCAGCCGTCATAAATACAGAATAGTCGCCAAGTACCCAACTTTGGATCACATGACTGTGTGGTTGCTGTGATGGTCACAAGTGCAAAAACTGGTCATAAGCCAGTGGTGGGATTCAGCCGGTTCACACCGGTTCGGTAGAACCGGTAGCTAAATTTTGCTGAGTTCGGAGAACCGGCTGAACCCATGCTGCTACTGGAAGTTGGTTCTAGGCCTTGGAGGCCTAGAGGAGGTCTCCCAGGCCTAGAATGGCCCACCGGAAGTGCATGGATGTCACTTCCGGAAGTCTGTTCTAGGCCTGGTGGAGGCCTTCCAGGCCCAGAACGGCCCACCGGAAGTGCGTTGATGTCACTTCCGAAAGTCTGTTCTAGGTCTTGGAGGTCCGGAGGAGGCCTCCCAGGCCTAGAACAGCCCACAGGAAGTGCATGGATGTCACTTCCGGAAGTCCATTCTAGGCTTCGGAGGCCCAGGCCTGCATCCATGCAGAGAACCAGATGTTCAGGTATTTGAATCCCACCACTGTCATCAGCCTATTTTTTTCAGTGCTGTTGGAATGTCAAATGGTCGCTAAACAAATGATCATAAGTTGAGGACTACCTTTAGCTCTTCTCCTGCATTCAGAAGCACCTCTTGAGAAGGATTTGCTTAATTTTGTTTAGTTCAGCTCCAGAAATAGCCACAGGTCATCCTCGACTTACGACCACAGATGAGCCCAGAATTTATGTTGCTAAGTGAGAAATTCGTTAAGTGAATTTTCTCCCATTTTACGACTTTCCTTGCCCCATTTGTTAAGTGAATTGCTACCGTCGTTAAATGAGCCCCATGGTTGTTAAGTGAATCTGGCTTCCTCCATTGGCTTTGCTTGCCAGAAGGTCGCAAAAGGGGATCACGTGACCCCGGGGACACTGAAAACCGTCATAAATATGAACCAGTTGCCAAGCATCCGAATGTAAACCACGTAGCTATGGGGATGCTGTGATGGTCATAAGTGTGAAAAACGGTCATAAGTCCCTTTGTAACTTTGGTCACTAAATGAACTGTTGTAAGTCGAGGACCACCTGTATTTTCTAGACACACCCGGTGCTCTGAGCTAGGAAAAGCCCCACCAATGTTAGCAATAGCCACACGCAGCATGTGGGAATGCAACCGCTGAGGCTTTCCTAAACCAGGTAAGCATCTTGGGCAATGCCGTTGCTATGATCCATTTTAACCCACGGTGATGCAATACAGCTAGTCTTCTCCGTACGACCACAATTGAGCCCAACATTTCGGTTGCTAAGCCAAATAACCGTTAAGTGGGTTTTGCCCCATTTCACACCCTTTCTGGGCCCCGTTGTAAAGTGAATTGCTGCCGTTGCGGTTTCAGATCTGAGTTTAATAGGGTTGGAAAGTTGGCCTCTTGTCTTTTTCAAAACCCTTTTTAGAAATCCCACGGCTAACCTTGGCGTGCTTTTCTCTTCCAGTATTATGAAATGTCCTACGGGTTGAACATCGAAATGCACAAACAGGTAAGTGAACGGGCGTGTTGGAGGCAGGTGTGGGAAACCTCTTGGCTGCTACAGAAAGTCCTTGATTTATGACCACAATGAGGACCCAAATTTATGTTGCTGAGCAAGGTCGTAGCTGTTAAAGGAGCCGTGCCTGATTTTGCCACCTTTTTTTTGCCACGGCTGCTAAAACGAATCACTGCAGTTATTAAGTGAATGGAATGGAATGGAATATGAAATGGAATAATAGAATAGAATAGAATAGAATAGAATAGAATAGAATAGAATAGAATAGAAAATAGAGTAGAATAGAATTGAGTAGAGTAGAGTAAAAATAGAATAGAAGAAAAATAGAATAGAATAGAATAGAATAAGAAATAAATTCAAAAGAATAGAATTGGAATAGGGATAGAATAGAAAATAATGAATGGAACAGAGTATAGAATAGAATAGAATAGAATAGAATAGAATAGAATAGAATAGAATAGAATAGAATAGAATAGTGATGGGGAATCTTTTAGAGACCAAGTGCCTAAAAACTGGCCCCGCCCCCACTCCACCCCCTGCCCTGCCCCCACTCCGCCCTCACCCTGCCTGCCCACAAGGCCACTCACCGCCTCCAGGGCCCGCCGCAGGTTGCCCAGGCAGCCCAGCAGTGCCATGGCGGCCAAGCCCTCTGCCCACGTCCTGCAGCATCAACTGCATGATGGGGCGTGAGGGCAGAGTCTTGTCTACGCTGCCTGGCTGCCATGTCCTTGGCTGTGCTGCTCCACGTGGGCCACGCTCGGGGGCAACTCTCCTCCAGGGGGGCTGCTGGTGAGGAGGGGGTCACAGGTGGAGGCAAGGCTGGGGCAACGGCACGTGTGCCCACAGAGAGGGCTCCGAGTGCCGCCTCTGGCACCTGTGCCATAGGTTCGCCACCACTGGAATAGAATATAGAATGGAATGATAGAGTAGAGTAGAATAGAATAGAATAGAATAGACAGAGTTGGAAGGGACCTTGAATGTCATCTAGTCCAACCCCCTGCTCAGGCCCTCAATCCATTTACTCGATTATTCAAGGCAGGAAGAGATCCAAAAACATTGCAAAAAAAAAAAGACATAAACAGAATTGTTTTGCATCCAACAAAAAAGCACAGCCGCCTTCAAGTCAAGGTCATCTCCCTGATGTTTTCACTAACTGTGGTTTTTGCCGATATTGACTGGTCAGGAAACAGATCTTGATATTATGGTAAATACTCTGATAATGTGCAGAAGAGAACTGGGTGAAAAGTCAAAATATTAACCCTATCGTGTGGGGCGGAAGGAAGAATTCCATATTAGCAAAACTTGGAAAATAATTTTAAAAGCCTCTTTCTGTGAGTCTTCCTTGTGATGAGTAGCATATGGGAATCTATCTCCAAATGAGACAAGATATTGCAGAACGGGAAAAGATGCAAAATAATAATAATAACATGGATCTGCACATATACTATGTAGATACATTACGACATCCGAAGTTCTTGGGAGGAATTCAATGCATACAGGAAGTCTTCCACTTACGAGCCTGTCATAAGTCGTGGCACTTGAAAAGCCGGTCATCGTATGATCAACTGGATTTAGGATAGGATAGGATAGGATAGGATAGGATAGGACAGGACAGGACAGGACAGGACAGGACAGGACTAGAATGGAATGGAATGGAATGGAATGGAATGGAATGATAAGAGTAGAATAGGATAGGATGGAATGGAATGGAATGGAATAGAATAGAATAGAATAGAATATAGAATATAGAATATAGAATGGAATGATAGAATAGAATAGAATAGAATATAGAATGGAATGATAGAATAGAATAGAATAGAATAGAATAGAATAGAATAGAATAGAATAGAATAGAATAAGAAATAAATTCAAAAGAATAGAATTGGAATAGGGATAGAATAGAAAATAATTAATGCAATGGAATAGAATAGAATAGAATAGAATAAGAAATAAATTCAAAAGAATAGAATTGGAATAGGGATAGAATAGAAAATAATGAATGGAATGGAATAGAATAGAATAGAATAGAATAGAATAAGAAATAAATTCAAAAGAATAGAATTGGAATAGGGATAGAATAGAATAGAATTGAATTAATTGAATTGAATTGGAAGGGACCTTGGAGGTTTTCTAGTCCAGTCCCCTGATCGAGCAGGAGAACCTATATCATTTCAGAATCATGCAGTCGTTAAGCAAATCCTGCTTCCCCCACTAATTTTGCTTGTCAGAACCTGCTAGGAAGGCTGCAAACGATCACCTGACCCCACGATGCTCAAACCATCATAAATGCTCAAACCATCATAAATACGAGCTGGTTGCCAAATGCCCAAATTTTGATCACGTGACTCCCGGAATGCTGCGACGGTCGTCAGTGCGAGGACCTGTCATAAGTCCCTTTTTCAGAGCCCTCGTAACTTTGAACGGTTGCTAAGGAAACAGTCGTAAGTTGAGGGCTACCCATATTCTTTTGTCTCAAGATGGGGTGTTTTAATTCCACACGTGGGCCTCTGGGGAGCTGACCTGATTGGGGTTTTCATTCTGATCTGTTTTTAAAACCTCTTTTCTATTTTTTCATTTGCTGCAGTTTAACCTTTAAAGGGGCATTGGGGCTTCATGCCGGCTTAGTGGCTTGGTTTAGATTAATCCTCTCGCCAGTTTGCTGAAAATTGTGCCCAACCTCCCCAAAAGCTGTCAGGTTCCAAGGAGCACAGAAAGGGTGTTTAGCCCCCCACCCCTGTTCGTGATGCAAAAGACCAAGGGAACCGGGTTTGGACTGCATCTGCCTTCCATATCTGAACCAGCCCCTTGTATTGGGTGCAAATTGCCCCTCTACAGAGATAATGGAGGGGCTTTGGACAGCTTTAGCCTCTGTTGCCGGCCTCCTCTTCCCATCGTGGGCGCTCCATCACTGGAGATTTTTAAGAAGAGATA